GACGGGCACAGCCCACCCGTGGGGGGACGGGGAGGACGCTCAGCCCCTCGGGAGGGCATTCCCGGGGAGTGCAGACCCTCCCTGGGGGTGGCGGGGTCAGCCCCGCTCCGGGGGATGCTCGGACCCCGCTCGGGCACGGAAAGCTCCTCATCACATCCCGGGACCAGCAGGAACAGGCAAAAGGCACAAAAACCCCCGGCCCGAGCAGGCAAAAGGCACAAAAAGCCCGGCCCGGCCCGGCTGAAAGAACGAGCCCAATGAAAGCAATGCCAAGAGAAGCGGGGCCGGGCTGAGTTTGCGGGGTCTCTGCGGGGACTTTGCCGGGTCACTGCGGCCGGAGGGTGACGGAGGGGGGATTTAAAGGCGCTGATGTCTTATTTAAACAGCGAGGCAGCGCCATCCCGGCCCCGCCGAGGAGGGGTCGCCTCCTCCGGCCGCCGCAGCCCGGGGCTGCCGAGCCTCAAAAAGCCGCGTTTGCGGATTAATCTAAAGCCGGGTTTTGCTAAACCCGCCGGGGGTGGTGAGGAGGAGAGGAGCGGGCGGTTCTCCGTCCCCTCCGACTTCGGGTTTGCCGGCATCGCTCCCCGAGCGGCGCAATTATTTGATCTGCAGATGTAAGAGGAATTTATTGTAACAACAAATATAGTGATGTCAAACCCCAACCTTGGATTAAAGCCGGCAGCCAAAGGGGAAGTGTATTAATTTCAAACAGCATCAGAGGCCAGTGCCTATTAGGACGAGCTATTCTTCAGGCCCCCCCATCAGAATTAATCATTGGGAGTTAATTTGAAGCTCAGACAAGTTGCTGTTAATTTAGTGCAGGGAGGACGGGATGGAATAAAAAGCTGAGGTGCTGGCCGGGCCTCCTGGGTCTCATTAATCAGCGAGCTGAGACGGCCTGGCTTGATTACAATTTGCAAAAAAATTCATTAGAGCCCGGGCGATTGACAATTTTTCTCTCTGCCTGTGATGTGACTCATTAGGCAGCCAAATGAAAGCCATGATGATGGTGATGATGACAGCTATCAACCCCCTCGCTTGTTTATCTCCTTCTCCTCCGGCCCGGGGCTTCCCCCCGCAGCCTCTCCCGGGCCGTGGCGGGGGCGGCGGGGACCCGGCCCGGGCACTGCCCAGGGAGGGATGCCCCGGGCTGGGGACAGGGGTGAGGAGCAGCTGCTCCTCCCTAAAACACACAGCTCCCATCCCCGGGGGGCATTCGGGGCACAGCCCGAGGCTCAGCGCTGGCCGCCCCAAAGAAATCCCAGCACTTCCAGAAATTATTATTTTTTGGGTTTTTTTTTTTAGCAGCAGCAGCTCCGGGGGTGGCCCGGGGTGTTTTTGTCCCACGCGTGTCCCGCGAACCCCCCCGCGCACACCAAACCCAAAATTATTCTCATCGTTAGGAGGAATATTCCGAGTTTGTTTTTTTTTTTTTTAAAAGCAGAAAAAGCTGGAGCTGCGCGTGTTTTTCTCGCAGGGGTTGTGCCTTTTTGGGGAGCGGCTGGTGGGGATTGGGGACCCCCCCCGGCACCGCCGCCGACCCCCTCCGACCCAAACAAAATAATATTAACAACATTAATTATCATAATTATAATAAATAAACGACGAAGAGCGAGCGATGTGAGCCGGCCGAGCCTGGGAGCCTGTCCCGGGACCGAATGACCCCTCCGGTTTAATTATTTGATTTTAATAGGATTCCCCCCCCCTTCCCCGCACTGCGCTCCGTTTTCCTCGGGAAAATTTCATTTTTAATTCCAAATCGCCGCCGATGTCACGGTGGCACCGGCACGGATGGAGCCGGGATGCGGATAATGGGGATGGAAAAAAAAAAAAAGGAAAAAAAAAAGAGGGATGAAAAGGATGCGGGAAGGGAAGGGGGGGACGCGGGACCCTCCGGCCCCGACCCCTCCCCACCCCCCGCTCCGGCCCCGACACAACGAGAAGGGGAGCGGGGCTGGGGGGGAGCCGTGCACCCCCAAACACGGGGCTGGGGGAGCGGCAGGACCCCCAAAAACGGGGCTGGGAGAGGCAGCACCCCCCGCAAAACACGGGGCTGGGGGGCTCCGGACCCCCAAACAGGGGCTGGGGACCCGCGGGATGCTGGGGGAGGATGCGGGGGTGCTCCTGCCCCCCCAGCCCCGCGGCCATCCCCGCTTAATCACAGCTAAACAGCTTTTTTCTTTCTTTTTTTTTTTTTTTCCCCCCCAGCTTTTTCATCCCTCAAATAAAGGGAAAAAAGGAAAAAAAAAAAAACAAACCAAAAAACAGAGAAAGTTTTCCACCCGGCTCCCCCCTCCCCGGCAATAAACGTGGCTTCGCAAAAGGAAAAACCAAAACACAACAAAAAAACCAACAAAAACACGGGCGAGAGCAGCATCGCTCCGGCAGCGCAGGAGGGGAAAAGAAAATCAGCTCAGCGCCAAATCCTGGACAGAACAGCCGGGGGCTGGAGGGCTTTTTTTTTTTTTTTGGCTTTTTTTTTTTAAAGTCTTTTTTGTTTCTTTGTCGGTTTTTATTCACAAGACTTAGTTTCCTTTTAAATTTTCATAACTTATAAGGAAATAAGCTACATTGAAATAAATTAAACACAATAGTGAAGATCGTGCTGCTTTTTCTTTTTTTTTTTTTT